CGTGACCCCCGTGTGAACCGACGCCTGTGTGTGTTTCTCGTAGCAAATCTCGTCGTAGCACGACCCGTGGAAGAGAATAGGGAGGTGGAGAACCACGTCGTCGCTGGGGGGCAGCATTATTTATTAACCATTAGCAGAGGGTGCGACATCCGCTCAGTTCCATCCTCTAACCTCGGCTGGGTCTGCGATGCAAGGGGGGCTCCAGGGTCGTGTTTGGGGGGAGGGCGGGGAGCTGCTCTCAGCTCGGGGCTCGCGGTGGGGCCGTGGGACCTGCAGGGAGGGCGGTAAACCTTTCTGAACCTCAGCTGCCTGTTCTGGAAAGTGGAAGAAACACGGCCTCCTGTGTGGGTCTGCGCAGCTTCCGTGAGATAACGTGCTCCCAGTGCCCCGCACGACGCCGGAGCAGGTGCCGCGTCACGGACGTGGGGACAGTCGTGAAAGGCTAGTTCACGAAGGGTCCGTTTCAATTCCATTCAATATCCAATAAAAATGCAGCCGTCTAAAGAGTTCTAGAAACCTCTGCCATTCCTCCAGTCAAAGGCACTCGCACAGTCTGGGGTGAGAGCAAAAGTCCCGGCAGGTCCGCCCCTCCAGGTCCTCCAGGAATCCCTGCCTCCCTGAACACCCGGCACCACACGGACGTCACGGCCAGAAGGACATCGCTGGCCCTGCAGAGAGAAACCAAAGGCCTTCCTCCCTGCGGGGACTCCCGGCCATTGCTGGACAGGATGCCACCTGCAGCGCCATGGCCAGCACCAGCCATCAACCCTGCTGTCCCTGGGCGCTGGCCACAGCGCATTTAGACACAGGCGTCCTTGGCCCGTTGGCGCGTCTGCGGCTGGGTTTGCAGACGCCGTTCTCTGCCCCTCCTGCATCTGTGTGAATGGGAGGGCTTCATTAGCAATGTCACCTGAAGGAAGAGCCACCACGCTCCATGCTGGGGGGACCTCGGTGGGGTTTGCCAGTGAGGCACTGGCTGAGCTGCCCCTGCAGAAAGAAACTCCTGCGCAAACGCCCCTCACGCCCCCAGCCCCGACCCTGAATCTCCCAGTGCACCTGCCCCTCTGTGCTCTCAGCAGAGGACTGTGAATTAACACAGGAGCCGGGAGAAGCCGTCTGCATGGCTCAGCCAGGCTCAGTCGCCAGCAGGGAGCCGCGAACAGGCTGGGCCGAGTCCCCTGAGCCTGTGAGGGGCCGCGTCCCCTCCCGGCAGACTCTGTCCTCACATGGTGCCGTCCGCATTAAATAAAGATGCGAGAGTTTGTTGGTGCCGTGTTTTGGGGGCAGGGACGCGCTGGAAAGTGTAAGTCACACATTTGCTGCCACTTCAGCTGATTTTCCTTGGACGGAGAGAACGCCGTGGTGGTCTGCTATCGACGGGGGATGCACGGTCTGCGGGGGGTTAAGTGACAGCTTCGGACCCTTTACGCAGACACCCGAGGGGAAGCGAGCTCTGTGCTTTCCGCCGTGGAGGAGGCGGCACGAGGAGGGTTGTCACGTTCCGAGGCGCTGTTTCTCTGGAGAAGGCCTGGCTAATGGGTGGAGAAAATCCATTTTTAATAGACTTTATTTGCTAGAGCCGTTTTAGGTTTATGGGGAAATTGGGCAGGAAGCACGGAGGTCCTGGAGCCCCCGTCGCTGCACGGCGGCCTCGATGTTCACGTCCCGCCAGCGGCCCGTGTGAGGACCGACACATCATTACTGACCGCAGCCCAGTGCACAAGAGGGCTCACTCTGGGGTTGGACGAGCCTCGAGTTTGGACAAAGGCGCAGTGACACGTGTCCACCGTGACAGGACCGCACAGTTTCACGGCCCTGTCCACCCTCCCGCCACGCCGCACGCGGCCCTGTCGGCCGGCTCCCTCCGCTGAGGTCACATGTTCCAGCTTCCTCCCCGTCTGTTGGGCCCGAGCGCTCGCCAGACATGCGGTCTCGAAGCTGAGGGTAACGGGTTCTGTGCATTTGTCCTGCTAACTGTCCCAGCGCCGACTGGGTGCCAGACCCGGCGGGAGGGTGCCGGAGACCTTGGTGAGGAAGGCAGTCCTGGGCCGGCGGTTTCTGGCCCCGTGGTTGGAGCCAGAATGGGGCCAGCCAGGGCGACTGGGCGGCCACCGGTGCAGACACTGGACCAAGTCCCCCATGGCCACAGACAGGGCAGGAGCAGATGAGCCTTCCAGAAGCGCCAGATTCGCTGCCGTGTGAAGCAGAGATTGGCGCTGGGGCAGAGCGTGACAGCTCTGAGCCGTGGCTGTCAGTTGCAGTGGCTTTCGAGGGGCTGGGAGGTGCCTGCACCCCACTTGCAGGGCTGGGGTGGAGCGTTGCTGCGTGTGAGGTTTGCACCCGCTGCGAGCTTTACAAATGCACAAGATTCTAAGGCAAACACGATGGCGTTGGGTTGCTGCGTGCTCTGCATTTCGGCATCGATTAAGCAGATACTAAAAGTGGCCAGAGCCCCAGACGGAGGACGACGGTGTTCGCAATGACGGGGCCTGCGCACGATGGGGACCCAGCAAGGTGGGAAATGGCTCAAATGATGCGCGTGTCCTGAAATGCGATCTTCTTCCAACACGTCGTCTCCTTGTCACTCACACGGGGGATGGGGCAGACCGTCTCTGCTCCGCCTTCCCACCCTGCCCCCGTACGTCCGGTCTGGGAGCTCTAAGAGCAGCGCGGTCCACGTGGCACACACGTGGCTCAGGATGCACGCACAGGCCGGACACGTGTATTTAGGCAGATAGACGTGTGTCCCACAGCGGTCCCTCCAGTTCCCCCCTGCCGCAGCCCAGGACAAAGTCCCCCTTCATGAAGCCTCCCGGGCTCAACCCCCGTCCGCTAACTCCAGGGAACCCCTCTGCCGGTCCCTGGGGACGCGTGGATTGGGCGCTTTGCACCGTGTGTAACTGACTGTTCGTTTGGGGCTGGCCGCTGCCGTGTGGACCCTTCCCCTCCACGCCGGTGTTTCATCCCGATGAGCACCTTGGTCTCCCCCCGGGATGGGAAAAACGAGGGGGCCAGGTAGGGGGGGCGGCCTGGGCTGGAGGCCTCTGTGGGGAGAGGAAGCGGGACAGGTGCTCAGGACCCATCGTGGGGAAGCGTGTGAGCTCGGGCACAGGCAGGGCTGCCATCCCAGCAGACAGGAATTCGGGACCCAGGAAGCCCCTGGAAACTGCTTTTTCCAACTGAAGTAAAATTGGAAATTTATATAACATGTACAGTTCAGTGGTGGTTAGCACATTCGCTGTGTCGAGCAGCCAGCACTTTTGTCTAGTTCCAAAACACCTCATCACCCCTAAAGGACACCCCGTGCCGTGAGCGGTCACCCGACCCCCGCCTCCCGCACGGGCCACCCAATCTGTCTCTGGCTCCTTGGTGGGTAGAACCTGCCTCCGCAGGGACCACAGCCGAGCCCAACCATGACCCCAAGAGTCTCCCCGGGACTCGCACCCAGTGAGGGAGACCCGGGTGGTGGGGTCCTGAGTCCTGCCTCAGGCTGGCACCGTCAGGACCACTGTGGGGACGGAGGCCCCTCTCTCCCCCGCTGACCACACACTCCAGGGCGATGGTGCCTGACTGGGGGCTCCCCCACAAGCCCCACTGTTGACGTGTCTTTGCTGGAGGAAGGAAGGAATTGTTACCTGACCAACCCTCTCGTTTTCCTCACTCCTTGTTTCTGCCTTTCCTCCTCGTTGTCATGGCCGTTGCACTTTTCTGCCCCAAGCAGCCCTGTCTGGAGTGGGTGCCGCAGCCCTCTGCGGGGGGATGTGACCCACTTTGCAGCCGGACTCGGGGATGGGCCTGTGACGCCGCAGCATGGACTGTCCTGGGGTCGTGTGCGGCTGGGAAAGGCACGACTCACCCTACGTTGGCCCCAAAGAGTGGTGTCCAGGTGTGGCTTCTGCTCAGGACACCCCTCCGTCCTCAGGGTGGCCCTTCCCTCCTGATGCAGATCCATGAGACCCGGACATCCTCACGCTGCTTCTCCCTCGCCTCCTCTGAATGTGCGGGGGGTCTCACACTGAGGGTCTTTCTGCCAGTGCTCATTTTCCTTCACGTCCCCCAGCTGCCTCTGCTCCAGGCACGCCAGCTCTCAGGGCCTGGAACCTCCCACTTTGTCTGCCCCAGGACCTTTGCACATGCTGTCCATGCTGCCCAGTGTGCTCCCTTCCCAAGCCTCCCAGGGCAGCTCCCATTCCCCAGACATCAGTGGGAGCATCTTGTCCTTGGGGAAGCCGTCCCCACCTACCCATGGAGTCTGTGCCACACCCTGACGTAGTCACCCGGTTGACTTCTGCCCCACCCCACACTCTGAGCTCCACCTGGCAGTCCCTGCCGTTGGTTCTGGCTGACTTGTGCTATCACAAAACTGCGAAGATAAATGAAGGGAGGGAGGAAGCTGCCGCGTAGCTCTGCGCCCACAGTCACTGTGCACGGGGCAGGGAGCAGGGCTGCGTGAGTCCTGGCAGGTGGAGCCGTCGCGAGGTCCCCGGGCGAGAGGTCCACGGACGGCACAGACAGGCCTCAGAGCAGGCGTCAGTGCGGAGGCCGCATGACAGCCAGACTGACGTTCACATTCACGCGCGTCCCCGCCTGGAGACGACGTCCAGACATCGTTGAACTTCCTGGTGCGCAGCCCGCCCCACGTCGTCCAGCCGGGGCTTCCTCGGCGTTTGTTTTTCCTCGTGCTGCTCAAACAGCTCTTCACATGGAGCTGGATGTGCCCCCACGTGCCCAGCCTGTCCGTGGCGTGGGGCCACCTCCCTGGAGGTGCGGCAGAGGGTGGCCCTGGGAGGGTGGGCACATGGAGCAGATCCGTTCTCTGGCGTCACCTCAGGAGAGAACACAGGCTTTAAAACCAAACCCGTCCTGTGCGAGCCGGGCGCTGGTGGTGGGGGGCCGAGGCTGCCCCGAGCGCCAGGGGTGACCACGGTGGGGGCAGGGAGCTGGCCCGAGGGGCGCAGGAGATGGAATCCTCCAGGGTCAGGGTCCCAGGGGCCGGCATCATGCCCGTAGGGCTCCTCCTCCCACCGCACTGGCTAGGGCCCCTGGCGGCGACCCCCCAGCAGCCTGGAGGGTCCGGTGTCGGCGCTGTCATGGCTGTCTCCGCCCGCCAGGTGGACGCCCAGTGCCGGCGCCCCAGTGGCTCAGCAAGCGTGTGTGGGAGGGACCACCCTGAGCCGTGCGACCTTGTCCAAGTGCCCTCGCCCCTCATCACGGAGGAAGTCGCAGAGCACACGCACCACAGCGTGGGCGGGCAGCAGCTGGCATCCGTCCAGCCCCTCCGCCCTCCTCCCCCACCCTCTGGCCGTCACCCCGTTGTACAGATGCGCAGGATGGCGCTCAGGACGAGGCTGCTACGCGCCCCCCATGCCGAGCACCCACACCTCCCTGGGCGCACGCTGGCAGGGCCCGGGGAACTGTGTTTCCGATGCCCTTGGCTCTGGTGCCCACCGCCCCACCCTGCGGGCGCAACATCCTTGCACCAGGTGGGTGGGGTCCTGCCCCCAGGCCCACTGCCCGGTGCCACCTCTAGCGCTGGCTGCGGGGGCTACACCTGCCACCGCCAAGGGAGGCTTCAACCACGTGTGTTCAGACGATGAGATTTAATTTCTCTCGGGATCCTTCTGTCTCTTGTCAGGTTTGTTTAAAGCTAATGGAAGAAATGAGTGCGGCAGGTGCAGCTGTGGGTACCGGGCCCCAGGCGGTCCCCGGGCCGGCCGAGGCCAGGACAGGCTCCCTCCTCCCACGCGGATTCCCTCCATGGCACCGCAGGAGCTTGTGACCTTGGATCCCTGCGTTTCCACGCGGGCATTTCCTGCCCCGCAGTTTCGATCCGGGACCCGCATCCCTGGAGCGCGGTGCGGGCAAAGCGCCCGGCTGCTCCTGGCAGCAGCGCAGGCGAGGGCAGTGCGGGCTTTGAAGCGCCCCAGGAAAGTCCCGGAAGCAGCTTCAGGCCTCTCCAGCTGGGGGCGCAGGTGCAGACCCCAGACCACATCTGGGAGCACGGAGTGGAGAGAGCCAGGTTAACTCTGTGCTGGGGGCCCCTCTTCTGCACGTGGGGACACGTGCTGTGTGCCGACACTTGCACATACGTGCGTACCTGTTCCTGTGTCCTCCTGAACTGCATTTAACCTTGCAGAAATAGACACAGACTCCAAAAATAAGAAAGAATGCAAGAGGAAGGAAGCGGGTTGAGGAGGAAACAAAGATGGAAATTAGAATGGAATGTGCTGAGGTTAGTAAAGGCCTCAGCATTATTAGAAACTGGCCATGGCATTGCCTCTGAGCTTCCCAGTAGCCCAAGTGAAGAGGGAAACCACATTCCGGCAATCTACAAAGAAAGACAAGTGGGCTACTAGGAAGAGTCCCCATCCTGAGACCTCAGACACTTCTCCCTGGGTGTGCCCCGCACACTCGCTGGCCATGCCCATAGCACGGCAGAGCGTTAGTAACGTTCTAGGGGCGTTTTTGTGTTGAGCAATGTGAACCGACATTTCACAGTTTCAAAAGGTGGCGTTCATTTATTCAGCACTGATGTTTTATGAATGGCCCTGACGTCTCAGAAGAACATCCTCTATTGATCTTTCAAGAGAAGCCCTCCCGGGTGGGGCGCAGGGGCAGGCGTTGTTCTGAAGTCCTTCCTGCTCCCGGAGAGCTGGTCTCCCCAACACTGCAGGTGCCCTGGACGGCCCCCCGTCTTCCAGGCTCTGTCCAGTGGGGCGTCAGTCAGGGCCACCTGCTCAACCTTGTCCTGACCTTCCTGCCCCAGACCAGGCCCTCCTCGGCCAAGTCACAATTTCCGCTTTCCTGATGCTTCTCCGCTGGTGAGGACTCAGAATCCCAAACGCGGTGGTAAAACCATCCCCCGCGGGCACAGCTTTGAAACAGGAGTGTTGGACGGAGCGGGTCACCCGAGCCACGGCCATACGGAAACCAGAAGTGGGGATTGCACCTTGTCCCAGAGCCCCACAGCTTCTCGTAACTAGACGGGTCTGCGCCGCACACACTCCGGAAAACTCCATGGAGATCTCTTGAACACCCCACATGGAGCGGCCCCACTGTGTCCCGTGGCATCGTCCCTCCAAACTGCACCGGGTGGCTTTGGAGGGCGCTGGCTTTAGTTTCGTTGGGGGTCTCTCCCCCAGAGGACGCCTGTCACCTGCGAAGCCCTTGGTTCTCGTGACCAGTGAGCCCTGCTGCCCCGTCCGGGCAGCTCGGATGCTGGCAATCTGTTCTTCCTGGAGCGGCGTCCGCGCTTGCCTGGGATGTCACTAAAGCCGTGCGCCTGTTTTTTAAAAAATGCAGTGACATCATGTTTAATCCTGAAGACACAAAAACCCTCCCGCTGCTGTCCAATTCCATTCGTTTTATTAGAAATTTGCTCTCAGAGAACAAAGGGGCTTATCTGGGTATTTCGTGCTAATCGCTCAGCAATCACGGAACCGCCATTTCTGTCTTTTGTCGGTGACAGTTGGGTGTCGGAGATGATGGATCCACTCGGTTTGCTGCCGATTTTAATTTGTTTACTGTTGGGACAAACAGTGTATAAAAGCAGTTTAGAAATTTTTTGTCACTTGAAAAACTGTGATGCTTCCGTGCTGGGAGCGGGGAGTATCTCTGCGGAGCCACGGCCGATCCTCGCCCGCCGGCGCCGTGGTCAGAGGAGCCACTGTGGGGGCCGCTGGAGCCCCCCACGCCGCCAGCTCTCTCCAGCCACACGGGGCAAGTGCCTGGTGTCACCACATTTGAAAACATTCTTGTATTAAAGCCACTAGTGGGAGGTGCCGGTGACGGGGACGGCGTCTAACGTGAGGGATTGGAGGCGAGGGAACACGCTCGTTATTTATTATCTCACGGCAGGCGACAATAAAAGGTGAACACCAGGGAAAAACACTTTATCAAACGTAACAGCGAGTAGCTTTTTCTCGTTTGGGGAATAAATAGTAATTAAATCATGTAAGCTGTGACAGAGAAATTGCTTAAGAAACCAATCCTCCCACCATAATTGCCTAGATACCCGCATTTTTATCAGTACGAGGTAACCGTATCCATCGTTTTATCAGCACAACGTGTCACTGCTGTTGGTGCCTCGTAATTTGCCACGGCATTAGGTGACAGTTGCAAAAACACGTGGATGAAATGCGCTAATGCGGCCCAAAGGAACTCGCGGCTGCCGAGAGGTGCCTTTCCGCAGCGGAGTTTGAAACGGCCGTGGCGCGGGGCCACTGGAAGGGGCTGCGATGCTGGTGCCTGATGAATGTTCTGGAAGCAGCCCAACGTGCAGGACCAGTGGTGTCCGCGGACTGCCTGCCTTCGGCACCCTGTGAGCAGGGAAGCAAGAGCGCGTGGCTGGCCGGGCCCCGCCGTCCCACGCACCTGCCCCAGCCCACCTCGCTGAGTAAGAGGAAGGGCCAGAGACACAGCAGACTTGGGTTCGGCTGCCGGAACCCACCTGCCAGGGGGATGGTCGCCGAACACCAGCACTCTCTGCCCCTCCCGCACTCAGCCTTCTTGGGGTGGAAAAATGGATCCATAAGGGGCTTTAAAGTTGACGCCGCAGGCAGAAGGTTTGCGTGTGGCAAGAACGGGGGAAATGGGGAATGTTCTTTAGGCAGAGAACGCCCACCGTGGCCCTAACAAACTCCGGTTGAATTCAGAGACAACAGCCGCGAGGGAGAGATGCGTCTGCAGAAACCGAGGGCAGCTGCGCCTCAGGCGTAATGGGCGGGCGGCTTTGCTTGTTTCCTCCTATTTAAGGCCTCTGGCTAATTCCCTGGGGGTCGAGATAAAACTCGACACCAGGGAAGGTCGGGCAGTGTGTGACCTCCTCACGCTGCCGCTCGCTGCAGACCCAGAGCGGCGCCTGCGCGGTCGTGGTGCGTGTCCGGGCCCTCGTGCCGGCCGGGCCGGTCCTGACTGTCTCCCCCTTCCTTTTGCAGTCGAGTTCAGCAGCTGTTTGGGGACCAAGGGGACACAATATGAGACCAACAGCGTGGACTTCAAAGTCGGGGCGGACGGGACAGTCTTCGCTACCCGGGAGCTG